TCACAGTATAATTAAAAAACAGATTAACACTTGAGCTCTGCAGTGGCCTCGGTAATGTTTGTAAATGGAAAAAAAAAATCCCTCACTGAAACAACTAAAGTACAAAACACTGATTATATAGTTCATTTTTGAAATATGTTGATGCTTGAAGGACCTCTTCATGAATGTGAGTATGGCTAATTGCAGAAAAAATATCAAAAGCTCTTATATCAGACATCAGGTTAGTTGTTATAATATGAAGAAACATTGCTAGAAATACACATGTAGGGTTTTAAACATTAACTAACTTCTAATGTTAGTAAAAGATTACATTATTTCAGTTTTGGAAGATTTCACCCTGGATGAATTAATTTCTTTAATATTTTAGAACAGTTTTGTTTGGGTTTTTTAAATCTTAAATCTAGTAGTGTGATAAAAATTACATCAGCTTTGTTGCTGGGGATTTTTGTCTCTCAAATGCATTTGAAAACTTAGCTATTCCTTATTGTTGTCAGCGAAACCTCCAAGCCTTGGTATTTAAAGGATTATTTCAAATGGCAAAAGAATATCAACATTGTAAAATCCTGTTCCTTCCAAATGTTATGTGAAATTTTACTCTCGTGTGTGATAGATAATGTACAAATCTAAATGGATAAGCCGGAGTTGCACACTGTCAGGGGAATTGCGTTTTAAACAGTTAAAGCAGTGCCTTGGCCAAACCATAGACTGGCCAGTTATATAAATCTATTAGGATGCAGCGTTATTTCTCATTTCATAGAAAGGTGATTTGTGTCTAAGTTTTTTTTTTTCTTTAAAGCATCAATTTTAAGGATAGACAATGATCAATCAGTTGCATATAATTTAGGCACATACTTTCCCTGCCTTTTAATAAAAACTGAGACTAGCTATTGAGTCACAATTAGAGTCAGATTATAATAATACATATGGCATTTTGTGTTATAACTCTACCATATGAAAGATGCCTTTTTCTTCAAAGGGTTTTATAAATTCTCACATTGTTTATAAGCATTTGTCTGTGTCACACTTCACCTAAATCCCATATATGCATTCAATATTTTCCTGCTCATGTGTTTCGCTCCCTTCTCTGAGATCTTCTGGCATTGCTCTTTGTATCTGTTAGTGTTGTCTGGTTGCTAATTGCCTGTCACAGAGATCTCGGATCCCTGGAGCCTCTTAGGGGAGGTCAGAGTAGGTAATTCAATCACACGCGAGCTGCTGGGTTTCCCAGGCTGGGATCTCAGCTCGCTGACGTTGGAGCAAGAACCCTTCTGACAACGTCACCGAGCCCAAGTCCAGTGCTTGGGGTGTAATGCAGGAGAGAGTCAACATTTAACCCGAAGAAAAGTTAGGTGTCTATCTAACTTAGCAAAAACGTGGAAGTTCAAAGTTAGGTGATGTTTAGTGGTTCGTGCCTTGGGTCGTAGCTCTTATAATGTGCCATACGTATTGTTTGGCTATTTCACACAGCTCGGTTATTGAGGTTTCGTTCATCCTTTAGCCTCTCTTAAATATAGAGGCTCCTTTTTTCTGCGTGAGAACCCTTATTTTCTTCAGAGGCAGTTGAATCACTTGATAGTTTTAGATAAAATCTCAGCCTAGTGCTATGCAGGAGTAAACGGAGGAATAAAAAGAGACCTTGTCCATTTTAAAATTGTGACTTAAATCTGAGTTTGTGTTGTCTGACCTTTGTTCACCATCACATTACATTACATTACACGCATAACAACCTCTTTGTAATATTGAGGAGAAAAAGATCTTCTAGAAAGAGTATGAACACTGACAAATAGAGGTGGCATTTACAACTGAATAAATGCTTCTGCTGGCTGAGGCCATTTCTTAAATTTACCTGTAAGCCTGGAGCAGCTGATGTGTGTCTCAGGTAGCAGTGCCGTGTGTGTGAGTGAGTGCTCCATTCAGAAGGCAGCGATGAAGAAATAAGAGCTGTGTCGCATGTTCCTCAAGGATATGTATGTGCCACCTGTTCACCTTTTCAAGTTGAATTTTTACTTTCTCTGCGTACGAGTAGTTTTATTTCAGATAAGATGTTCTTCTCCACAAATGTTAGGCATGTCTATTCTGCGCGTGGAAGAGCTGCGTGCACAGCTTACCCACGCTGAGTGTGTGATCGTGCTGCTAGTCCATATCACAGGATTTTTATTTTGTTTTCACAGGTATAACAGTATGTGTCGAACACCTGTCTTTGCCTTTATGTAAGGCTTTACCTGAAGTTTTCTCAAAACTTTAACACGTTGTCTTGGAAGGAAGACGTTGATTAGACTAACTCTCAGCTCTCTAGTCTCTGCTTAACCACTCACCAGGGTGCTGTACAGATGCAAAGAATAGAATTTCCATCTTCGCACGTAGATAAATAAATGGGGAGGTGAAGGGTCTTAAAAACAGTCGTGCCTAATTTTAAGACAACTAATAGTTCTGTTTCATTTGAGAAGAAATTCTCATGCTTGGAGTTAAACACAGATGTGAATGTTTGGGCGTGACAGATATCAGGAGACATGAGCTCTCTTACGAAGAAGCGTTAAACGTGTGGATGTCTCCCAGAGACTGTGCAGATTCAGTTGATGGGGCACACAGAATCAGCGTGTATCTCTAATGAATATTTTCCCTATTTGCCAACTATCCTGCTAAGTGCGTGTCTGCTGGGCATCTAGAGGTTTCCCTTGCTGCGGTCCTGGGGATTAATCACATGGACTAAACTTGGTTGTTAGCGCTAGCACAACTGGACCTATTGAAATATGATTAAATTGGCATTATGCTTTTTCAACAAAAATCAGTCTATGAGAGGAGCATTTTTTAAAAAAAAAGGCCAACACACCGCATATGAAGCCCTTTAATCAGGAGGTTTTGTGGCTAGCACACTGAGTTTATTTGCTTATTTTAGTGCATTTGGCAGAAAAATCAATGCTATAGCATAACTCAAGTAAAAATAGGCAATATAGAGTACTTCCAGTAGAAGAGAGAGGTGATTCTCAAGTTGCGCCTGCTTTCTCTTTGTCGTGCTAGCATGTGCCAACTTTATGCTTAATAAAGCCAACTGAAGTGTAAAGTACTTAGTCATGCAACCAGCGTTATATTTAACTCAGCTGAAGTTTATTCCTCCTGAAATGCACCATCCTTTCTGTTTGAGCAACAAATTTATAACAACCCACACAATTAAACAGGGATCTCAGAAAAAGCCATTCAGCAGCCACTGGTCCTCCCAGCAGTCAAAAATATATAGTTTTTAGCATTTTTGCTAGATAGTGGGAGAAACAGAGAGAACATAAATAAATATGGATGTATATACTTATATGCATATGTATATACTTACATACATATGTATATATACTATGCACGAACTCATATGCTACAGAAAAATCCATTTTGGATGACTGTGCGTCCTGGTATCTGTCAGTATAGGAGACTGCTGAAGTTTTGCCAAATTCAGCATGTTCTCCAAAGTTACGAGACCTACGAGAAACCTTAGCTGGGTTTCTGCTTGCTAAGCTTTTTAGTACACTTTATAGTGTGTATGGTTTTTTATGCACTTTAAGTCATAAAAAACATGATGTTCATCGAGACCAGACTACATTACAAAGGATAAATTTCTCATAGTCTTCAAATATATACATTTTAAAGTTGTTGAATATTAGTAGATCAAACTCAATCGTTAAAGGGGTGCATAAAGATGATGTGTGCTCTGTCTGGCCTTGATTGTTGTGTAAGAAAGTTGTGACAAATGTCTATTTTGACCAAAAATTAGGCACAGCAACTATTTGGAAAGAGGTTGGTAAAACTATACAAATATATTATACACAGGTCTAATGCATTTGCTGTCTCTGCGTATATATTTATTATTTTTTAATAGCAACCAGAAACTGCAATGCTATCTTGCTATCTTTGTTCATGATACTTTACACACAGGACAAATGGTCCCTGCCTCACCAAATCTAAAGTTTGTGCTGTGCGAAGGACAGTATAATATAGAGTCGGGAGCCTGCATCTATTTTTTTATGAAATGCAGTTATTGTACTTACACGTGGGTAGGTACCTAATTTTGTTTCTCTGAGCATGAAATTTAAGGGATCAGACGTTAGAAATTGTAAACACTGATTTTTAAATCACAACTTACAGCTTTAATTTTCTAAGCAAAAGAGACAGATGTAGCTGTACTGCTGTATCCACATATATTGTAAAATATATTTAAATCATGTGTGTGCAGGGAGGCAAATGAGAGAACTCCACCATCCAAATATTAAATTACACATTTTGAAGCAAAATAGTGTTTTAAGTGTACGTGTGCATAATGCTTTCTTGTCACTGGATTGCTCTCCCTGATGCAGTTAGACAGAATCTGTATTTAGTCAGAGATCTTTCAATAGAACGGGCTACCAGATGGGACCAGTGACAATGCAGAGAGGCATCGAACCACCACAGACATTTGGTGCTTAGAATAATAAAAAGACTATAAAATTAGATTAGTTGAGTCTAATTTGGAATTGGTATATTCCCTATGCACTCTCACAGCTCTTGGGCAGATAAAGCCTGGAGATTTAGTACTGTCAGGACAGAGGACTCCAACTTCCAGTAAAAGAAAAAAAGGCATTCTGGGAGGTCACGGAGGGCAGCACAGTGACCTCCAATGATTTACAGGCCTTTAGCTTAATGAAATTGTTTCAGTGACATGACGGTAAAAGCTCATAATGGATTGGATGCCCTAATGTAATGAAATTACTCCCTTCTGCCTTTAAAAAAAAAAAAAAAAAAAGCGCAATTAATATTTACTGAGACCTGACAGGCTTCAGTGTGCGGTAGCGTGCCGCGCTGTCAGACAGCAGCGAGCAGAGCCAGAGCAGCGTGGCAGCCGAGCAGCCCTGCGCCGGGTGGCGAGCAGGCGCTGCGAGGGGGTGGAGGACACCTCGGTGACGGGGAAGCCCCCAGCCTGGCGCTCCCAGGCAGCTCTGCCCGGACCGGCCAGCCTTCATCCTCTCCCTTCCTTTCTGCAGGCAACTGGACAACAACCAGATCAGCTGCATCGAAGATGGAGCCTTCCGAGCCCTGCGCGACCTGGAGATCCTGTGAGTTGACTTGGTGCTGTGCTGGGGCGGCGGGGGGGCGGCTTTCTCCGTGCTGCAGTGCTGGGTGAACCTGGGGGCTTGAGATCCGTCCTTCCGTCCTTCCTTCCGTCCTTCCCTGTCACCTCCGACCGGTGCTGGAGGTTAGCAAAGTGAAATCTCACACTTCCCCCAGGCTGGGGTTACTGCTAATTAAACCACAATAGACGACTTCTCGGCTGTAGCTCCTGAGGAGCAGGGATATTGCCGTGCTCGCTGCTGCATGGAACAGATGGGGGTCAGCAGTATTCAAAGTGCGTCCGATGTATGCTCTGCAGCCAGAAACCTGGCCGGGTCTGCGTAATGTCGAGTAGCGGGTGGGTAACAGGTTCGTGGGGAACAATATTATGAGATATCTGACAATTGCCCTAGACAAAAAGCTGTTTAAAAGGTGTTTGCTATGTAGGAGGGAGGAGAGACGGGCGTTTGGCAGGCTTGTTCAGTGCAGTCATTGGCTTTTGGGGAGGATCCTGCTCTCAGGGCTGAAATAACACCGCGTTGTGCTCTTCATGTACCACAAACTTTACACGTCGGCTGTTAAAGCTGCAGCACAGACCAAAAAAAGAAAAAAGGATTTCACAGCAAAAGCTGACTCTGACAGAGAAAAAGCACATTAGATTTCGAGCACTGTCATTGTCATGTAAAATCCAGTATTACCCAGAAATCGGTATCTGAACAGATAATTTCCTTATTACTAACAGTTACTTGTTCACTTAGAGACCTTTTCTGGAATAGGTTTTGACTATATGAACTGATTTAAAGCTCTCCCTGTTACCTGAAAGTTAATACTGCAAAGCTGAAAGCGTTAATACTTGTGAAATCACAGAGTCCCAAGCCAAAATGGAGAGGGAGTGGGGGGACCCCTCCAAAATTCAAACCCTCAACATCTAACTGGAGTTAATACTCCACCGAAACACTATACGCTTAAATACAACAGGGAGGGCCTGCTCAGACTGCTGAAAAGCTTGCCCTTAACTTACATGATACGAAACAGCAAAAGGCAGATGGTTAAAGCAAGCACCTGCCTCACACAGTCCTGGCACCTGGAGATTCAGCAGGCTCTGGACACTGCCTTGGGCTTCCGAGAACAGACCACGCCACAGTGGGTTTGAACACGCATGCGAAAATATAGGGAATTCTTTCCCAAGGGCTCTCTCTACCCACTTTGTACGGCTGCTCAAAGGAGTTTTGCCCTCAGTTTCGGCAGAAGCCCCCTCAGCTTTGCGAGGGACCTGGGAGTGGTGGCTGTGCCGGTTTGTCACAGTCACCTGAGATACTTTTGGCCCCTCTCCCTCCCCGGTGGGGATACTGATGTTGATCAACTGTGTGTGTTGCTCATATTGAGCTTAACCGTAGGTATCTGCAGAGTTTCTTATCTGGGAACCTATGTTATCAAGGGTATTGTTTGAATTCTATATTAATAGCACTTTTCAGGAAAAGTGATGTGTTAACACTAAAAAGTTTTACTTGTCTGTCAGATTGAAAAGCCTACTGTGTGGTGAAAGAAAGGAAGAAAAGAAAAAAATCATGAACTCCTGTAAAATTGACTTTTTTTTCTTTTTGATGGACTGATTTTCCATATCCGTGGAGAGTGAATCAGTCCTCCACTGACAGTAGACTGTGCTATAACTTCCACTAAAATAGGCTGGACAATAAATGGAGCCTTTTTTGTGTTGTACCAAGTACTGGAGGCTCTGAAAAAGTTGCTGGGAACATATTCCTTCTCCCCAGGATGTAGTAAGTGTTGAATTAGTTTATTTACCCCTCTGCTTTTAATTGGTTAATTCTATGCTAGTTATTTGTGGGTGGGAAAAGAGAAGGATATATAAAATACATCATAATCAGTTCTTTAATGCATATTTAATTTTCAGCACAGACATACTGCTACAGGAAAAATCAATCTTCATTCTAAAAGATGAGAAAATAGATTGATAGTATCTATTTCTAAAGGCATTTTTCTTGCAGTCACAAAATGTGAGTTATATACTTCCAACCTAATCTAAATTTTTTTCAACTTTTTCTTCAAAGAAAGTTTGAGCATTTAAATCTCTCTGTCAAAATAAATTTGCTTAATGCCCCAGAGAATATCATATCTTCAGTTGTAAAACAGTTGTAAATGTTAAAAAATTGAAGTGATTTAAACCATCAAAGAATATTAACAAGTGAAACCAAATTTCATAATTTCAGACCCACTATGTATTTTATGCAAATATATTTTAACCTGTAATGCAATATGTAGAAAATATTTAATGATTCTGGCAAAAATTAATCTAATTATCTGTTTGAACAATTTGCAAGGGTACCAAATAACATATTTCTTCTTTATCTTACTGAAATCCTGTGACCTTTCTGATACCAAACTATTACATTTCTGCATCTTTTCTCTGCACACCTGCCTGTCTACAGAGTTCTAAATTCTGTAGATAACACAGGGCAGAGACAAAATGCTTAGCCTTACTCAAAAATATAAATTACAAACACTTTCCTTAAAAGCTCGTTGGTTCCTGGGTCACACCTTTCATTCACCTTGAATTCCTGAAAAAAGACGAGTGCAAGGAGCTTGGTGATGTGGTAGGTGTGGGAAGAGGAGGAAGCTGTGCACTTACCTCTCAAAACGAAGAGCACTCCATGGTGCATGTTACTTATTTCTGCTTATCGACTAGCTGTTTTCATTTACTACTTTTATTTTCTTTTTCTGTGTTACGAATACGTTCCTGTACCAACAAATAGCACAGAGGCAGACATGAAAACAAGGGGTAAATTTGTGACTAATTTCAGTACTTGACATGGTGCAATGAGTTGCCAGCTCCAGCTGAAGCTCGGATCAGACCAAGGCACTGACTGCGGCTCTCAAAACAAACGCAGTCTTTTGATCACTACTTTGTTTATGAGCTTCCATGTCTCAAATGTCCCAAACGGCGTCCCTGATCCTATGATCTGTAGACCAGAATGCAGGTGCCAAGTGCTACTGATGACTGAATTTTGGGTTAAAGAGCTGCAAAAATGTTGAGTATAAAGTGCTTTGGTGCCTTCTGTTGATTGTCTTTGCGCTGCAGCAAGGTGAAGATAATGTCTGAGAAATGACACGCTCACTCAAACATCCTTTCTTGGTAGTTTTGCACTGGGGCTAGTTGGGTTCATTTTCGCGTCACATCTTCTGTCCAGCTTCCCGTAAAGGTTATGTTTTTAATCAGTTGATAAAACAGGGATTTTTCTTGGTGACATACTTCCTTTTCCCCCTTTTGTAAGACGAGAAAGCATATTTCAGTGGGTTTATTCTTGCATTCCAACAGACAGAAAGGTGTGTGCAACCACTGAAACAGCGATAAAATGTAAAAGGGGCATGTATTTGTAAAGGGGTGGCAAAAGTAATAACTCATGACCTGTTGGAATAGAAATGTGCAGAAATGTTGGAAAAAAAAATGGTGGGAATCTTCCAGTAACTAAAGTGTCATTTTTAGTAGGAGAAATTTTCTGCTCTGCCTAATTTTTAGTTATGTCCTGTGGCAATACCTGGCAATAAAAGTATTATTAAGAAATACGTATTAGTGTAGCTGTAAGCACAGTTAAAGTTTATTAAAAAAAAAAAAAAAAACAACCCCCCCCCCCCCCCAAGTAATTCTTCAAAATAATTGTCCAGTATTCCTTATGGTGTGTGGCAATACGATGCTCGTATCTGTTGTAGATTAGAAATTAGTCCATAGCTTTATTTCCAAATGTCCAAAATTATGAAGCATAGGAGATAAAATTCTTTCAGAACTCAGAATTTCACCTTTAGTCTCTTAGGATACATGAATAAAAGGAATTAATTTCAAAGTGGTTCAACAAGCTCCATCAAAACAGGTAAACTAGTAATATCGAGTGAATGCTCATGCTATTGTCATTAGGCTGGAAGTGCTGAACAATACTTGTGGTTTTAGGATCCATTTCTCAGTAAGATACAGAACTCTATTTAGAAAAAAAAATCCTTTTTATTTATTGTTTTGCCTCACTGGGGTACCTTGAAAACTGTGTGGTGCCATGGCAGTTGTGCCATGTGGACAGGACAGAAAGAATTACAGTCACTGTTGGCAACTTAGGTGGAGCGCTTTCCTTGTTTTATATTGTAAAAGCTGTTTTTCCTCCTACTTTATAACAATAGCCAGAGGGACTGCAGCTTGAAAACATTTTGTTCATTGCAGATTTTCTGTAAAAAAAACCCTGCCAAACTCAAAAAGATTTTATCATACCAAGAGCTAATCCTAGGAGGTCTGTGGATAATATTCTATTAAACGTGGCAAATGAGTTCTTGCTGTACAGAGCTGGGACGGAATGATTTGGGGTTTTGTTTGTTGCTAGTCATGCTATTTGTTGTAGGTCTTTCATATAACATCTCTGAGCCTGAAAATCCTCTTCCTTGAGTTTCCACCTGCTTTTTGAAATGAATGAGCACTGACTGTCATTGAGTCTGTGGTAACAAACTACGCAGGCAGGAGCCCGCCATTCTACTCCAGGTGCTTTAGTGTGAAAAATTGTGATAATTCACTCACAAATAATATGGAAGAAGTGCAAGTACAGTCACCCAAATATCCACAGCAATTTAAAATTGTAACTTCTATTCCAAATGAGCCCTAAATATTTGATCTTAAAAAAAAAAAAGTTAGTTTTTCAGATTGTAAAAAGTAAACATTTGTAAATATGTTGTAAACCACCGTTCCATCTCTGAAATTTTATAATGAAAATAATAGGAGTCTTAGAAATTAAAATTGTTCTATCCATGTTTGAATAGAACCTTTTCTCTCCACACATTTCTGCCTCACTCTTCTTCCTGCTGCACGACAAACGCCCAGAAGCACACAGCTACAAGTGCCGTGCGCTGGTTTCCTTCGAACTGCGATCCAGTGCCGAGTCATGTTCAGCGGGACAGTGCGAGCTGTCAGACCAGTTGCGGTCGGCATCCGCCAGTTCTTCTGTACATTGTCTGA